ATACTGCATTTACCCAAAAAATCCATGTGTAAGTGGACCCATGCAGGTCAAACTCGTCTTTTTCGATAGTCAATTGTTTATACAAATGGGGAATCAGTAAGCTGTATACCTGAACCTGATACAATGTTATATGTCAATCATCCCTCAAACAAACAAACAAACAAACAAACAAAAAAACACTCTTTCTGCATCTCTCCATTTTGTTTTTTTCTGAGTTGGCTCTCAGGCAGTCGGTTGACCCTGAGTGACAAAGGCTGCCACCAGAAACTCCAGGCTTTCATCTTATCACCCTAGAAACCCAAAAGAAAGAAAAAATATTAGGTTGAAATACATGAAATTACCACTGATGTAGATCAAAAACGGTTGAGTAATGGCAATTTCATATGTTTCAACCTAAGAGTTCCGGAGTCCCCAAGGCCTAAAGTTCATTGGCTCAGCTTCGATGTCATGCCCACTATTATCCAATCACTGTGGCCACTAGAATAGACCACTCTTTTTGACCGTGTCTAAGACATACGCCCATTCATGAGCCATGTCAGAAGAAATGAGGCAAGACTGATTCGTCAAAGAAAACTTAAGGAGCTATTATCAGAAAAGGGGGAATAAAAGCAGAGGAGGCCCATCAGATGCCCAGTGCATAAAATAGACATGAAATGTGTCCATTTACCATGAAGGTAATGAAGACTCGCTTTGGCAAACCTCACCTGCGCAGGCTTTTCCGATCTGCACGATGGTACAGCAACCGGTGCAAAATGTGTTTTATTTCATGTACAAAACAACGTGGCAGGACTCTTTTTCTTTAAAAGGGGGCCTCCAAATTATATAAGCTTTAGAACCGACAGAACATGGAAGTGCAACTAGTGAAAATACTCAAACATATTTTTGAAACTAGTATGTATTCCCAGTATATTGTACTTCCTTCTGCTTTTAGTGTAAATAAAGCATTTAGTAGGTAGTTTACTCACTAAATTCTTCTCAATAACTCAATCTCTTTTCACACTAACAGAAAATAACCTGATCATTCCCTTCAAATCTCCCCAACTTCTCAGAGCTCAGCATCTTCATGAATATTTCTTCACCTATGTCATAGACTAACACAAATAAGGTCCTTTTTCATTTTTGCCCCACCTTGAACTTCACTCCCGGATGAAACTTGCCTCCCAGTACCTCCGTTCATGAGAAGTCAGCCCCATTTGAAAGGTGCATCTCTGGGTCTCGCTGTGGTTCCTTATAGCACCAACTTGAAGAAACTTAACAGACACTCATATTCACTCCAAACTAACATTTATTTTTAAAAATTGCAAATCAAAATGAGTTCTCTGAAATAACGAAATAGAGAATGTGAAGTGTAAGGTGGATCTTATATTGGAGTGAATCTAGGATAGGAGATGGTGTCAAAGCAAATACACCTACAGAGGACCCATTATTAGGGCTGTGCCAAAATGGGTCTGGACAACCAGAAAATGTGCCTTTGTTATTGGGATTTCCAACTGTACTTTACCCTTCTATTGGACAGTCAGACAGCCCCAGGAATGTAAATTCATGCTGTTCTGGCTGTGGGGGAAGGTGAGGAAACTAAGCCTGCTTGCTGCTATTCTGATGGCAGCATTTGTCCCTGGGAGAGACAGCTCTGGTACTGATGTTACTCTTCTCCCCCCTCAGGAAAATGGCTTGGGCTGTGTATCGGGGAAGCCAACGGGCACCTACAATTTCCGCTTAATCTCCCAGCAGATTTCCAAACCTGTAGTCCTTCAGATGTGGCATTGAGTTTGAACCCATTTTTCCCCTCCCCCCCACCTCCTCCAAGAAATATGGCTAGAAACCGGGCAGCACGATTATGTTGCCTTTTTTCTTTGAATTTGTTGAAATTGTCTCTAGGCAGAAGAAGGGGGGAGTCGAAACCAGATGGTTGTAGTTGGAGTAGAAGCCTACTACTGAGGAGCTTTGAGACGCTCAAATCTGGTGGCGGCCACTACTGCCCTGCAGGGAAAGGGATGAGATAACAGACTGGCGGCAAAAGATTTCCGGAAGACTGACCTCAGTGTCCTGTTTTCTTTATCCTCTGACCACACACATGTAAAACGAGGTCTCCTTTCCTTTAATTCTCCAAAGCACTACCAACCTTGGGTTAAAGCAGACTTTAACTCTTGCGGAGGTGGGGAGGGTTAGTTACTTGTTAAGAAAGGAGTTTATATCACCGGGACTTAAACAGTTTATGAGTGAGTACTATCCATTCTTCTTAAGGCCCCTTAGCCTGCCTGTATCTTCTTCGTCAGCATCCCTCTACCACTCATCAAATGCTAGCAAATCTCACTGAATCATCAGATGTGTTCCTCAACTTCTCCCTACACACAGGAAGCACAGGGAAAATTGAGACTGAGGAAAGAATAGTCAGAGAGTTGGGTAAGAGTGAACTTCTTTTATCTCCCAATATTTGGGGAGACTCTGCTAACAGAATAGCTCCCCACCCTGCTCTCCAAATCATCCGAGAATCTGGAGGGAGGGGGAACACACCACGGTCAACCTGGGGGCTAATGCCTCCTCCTTCCCACTCTTGGGGAAAACTGATTCTCAATCTTTTGTCAAATACTAGGCAAATACAACTGAATATCCATTCAGATGTCCACCTGTTAGGGTTTGTTGTTCCCCCAACAGATGGTGTCTCCTTCACCACTACTTCAACTCTCCAGCACCAACTGGGTATTCTACAATTCCTCTCCATCCTGCCACTAACTGCCCGGAGTTAGCATCAGACTCCATGGTTTAAGGGCTCTGTTCCACAAGAATGCCCACACTTCAGAGACCAGTCACAAGTATCAAGTCTCTGGATTGCATCTGACACCCGTTCAGGGGTTCCCACAAACCCCCCTCAGATTGTATCATTTGTCAGGGTGACTCAAAGAACTTGGGAAAGGGCTTTAGGTACCAGTTTACTATAAAGAATGTGATGAAGGAAGAGGGCAAGGTATGAGAGGGGGGTTGTGGAGCTTGCCACCTTCCCAGCCCGTCCACACCTTCAACAACCCGGAAGCTCCCCGAAGCCCACTATGTAGTGGTTTTTATGGAGGTTTCATGATGTAGATACGATTGATAAAGTTACTGGCTATTCATGATTCATCGATCTCTAGCCCTTCTCCTCTTCAGGGAAGTTGGAGGTGGGACTAAGAGTTCCAAACTTCTAACCAATTCTTAGTCTTCCTGGTGACAAAAGACTTTTATCACCCTTATCACTCAGGAAATTCCAAGGGTTTTAGGAGCTCTGTGACAGGAACTGGGCACAAAGACCAACCATCATTCTTATCCAGCTCCATTACATTTACCTGTCTTGTTAAAAAAAAAGAAAAAAGAAAATCCTAGAGACACCCTCCTTAAGGTGTTAGTCTTCCTATTTCTGACTATCCCTCTGTGTGTACTCTCCATATCCCCTTAAGAGAGTGACCAGAAATGTCTAATTTGCTCTTCATGAGGCTTCTGGACACATAATTAGTTCCCCTGTGGTAGACCTCTTTATCGGTCCCCTCCAAATAAATCACTCATGAGAACAAACATTAGACCAGAATGCCAACTCCACCTCTTTTCTTCCCACAAGAATCTTAGGATGTCAGTGCTACAAGTGGACTTAAAATGGCCCAGCAACTCACTCCCACCCCCAACCCCCCTTTATGCAGTCATCCTCTCCACTTCCCTGGGCCAGCTCCACCAGCTTCTGGCTCACTGGTGTTCCATAAAGGAGAACTGGTCACTCTGAACGTCCAAGGAAGGGAGGCCTGGTGGCTCTTACTTGTTACGTCTCTAACAGGAAAAAGTCACACTCTGGAACAGGAGACCGGGAACTTTACTGGTGAAAACGAAAGGAGGACCAATTTGACTGAAGCCTGCTGTGCGTTCTGCCCTACCGGCTGCTAGTCCCCCTCCCTGCATGCCCAACAAAGACAAAAACAAAACAAAAACACAAGTACAGCAACAACACACTCAGGGAAACAAAGCTTTCCTTTTAGGTCATCAAAACATTTTCCTTTTGAATCAAAAACCTCGCTTGCTCCTAGGTTTGGGCTTTGATCATCTGTGGCCCCCAGATGGTCTCAGATGGTGAGGGCCTTCAACGCACACAGGTTGATTTGAAATCCATGTTTAGGTCCCAGCATGTGGCAATGTGCTCCACTCTGATGACACTTTTCGTTTCTAAGAATAGCGCAGATGAAGTAATATTGCAACTGACGTTCCCGGAGATTTGATTGGGTAAGTGCATAAACTGTGGAGGGAGAAGGGCGGCGGGGGGGGGGGGGGGGGCAGGGGTTCTCTGGACGGATCACATTAGTATTCCCGTCCTATCAATGTGCGGGGCAGCGCACCACGTCAGGCGGACCGATTGCCTGCGTCTGCCAGTCCCGCCACGGATTCATTTGGGATCCTCAAACAGATGAGCCCGTAGAGACGGGGGATCAAGGCAGCCTATTAGAGCCATTGCCTGCTTCGGGGACTGCCAGCCTTCCAGGCCCGGCGACGGGGGAGGGAGGGGAAAGACGAAGGAGCGCCGCTGCGGGAAGACACTGAGGCGAGAGCTACACTCATACCCGCCCCCCCCCCAACTCCCACCTTACAGCGCAGGCTTTGAAAGCTGCTCCCCCATCTGAATGGAAACTCAGAACCGCCTGGCGGCGCGTTCCTTCTCGCCCAGCGCTGCAATCCATGCCGAGGGGAAGGTAGTGCGAGCCCGCGCCAGCGCCCAGCTCCCGGGACAGGGCCGGCAATGCTGCTGAGCAGAACTTGACCGAGCCCCTTCCTCACTGCTCAGTGGAAGCGATGCTGCAGCGCACAGCCAGCGCTTCCCCGGCTCTCCTTCAAGCTGAAGGTTACCCACCCGCGCAGCCAGCCCCAACCCTGTGAGCGCCGCGCCTCGATTCCCGGCTCCGGCTGCTTGGCGGCGCGCAGGGCAACGACCGGGCCGCCCGCGCCGGGGCGCACTGCACCAGCGGCTTCGGCTTGGTGGATGTGTATGCATGAGTTCTGCACCGAATGGGCGCAAAAAGCGCCCCAGCCGGTCCACCCGCTCCTCGATCTTCCAGATCAGCAAGCCCCCGCTGCAGAGTGGGGATTGGGAGCGCAGGGGCAGCAACTCCGAGAGCGCCCACAAAACCCAACGAGCCCTGGACGACTGCAAGATGGTAGGTGAAAACTGCGCCTTTTTTTTTTTTTTTTCCTTTTTGGAGAAGAGGTGGGGGCATCTTGTATGTGAGTCGTTTGCTTGACTGCCAGCCACTCCCCCACCCTCAGCTCCTCCATGCCGATCACGTGCACATGCACTATTTTTAAATCTGCAGTCCCCAGATTCGGGGTGACACCCGGGTCGTAATGTCCCCGCAAAGAAGTGCCACGGCAAGGGTTTTAGGGTCAGCGGCTGTAAGTCATGCCTCTACCCCCTCAGAGAACGGTGGATGCAAAAGACACGGTGAAGTGGCTTGCTCACCAGGGAGGGAGGGGATGGGAAGGTGGGGGTGCTGCTTTGTGGGGAGACAGCAGCAAATAAACCCAAACAGAGCACACGGGGCGCTGCAGAGGGGACGAAGGTTCCAGCGCAGAGGCCGTGGCCGGTCTTCCCATCAGGCTCCTGAGCCAGTCTCTGGTTCAGTGGCCTGGCAGGAGGTGAACGGTTTCCCTCTCGCAACCTATCTTTGGCCTTTATCCCCACGCAACTTAAAATCCTTATCTTAGCTGTAGTACATTATATGTACTACTATAATGTAGAGCATTATATGTGAGAGTTCCCAACAGCAAGCTCTAGTGACCTGGGAGTGGCATATGCTCTTGCTCTTCAGAAACTGAGTCTAAGGGAAGAGGGGGGATGGTAGAGGGGGAGGGAGCAGGTCTGGAAATAGAGCTTCCACCACCGGACTTCCCGATGAAAATAAACACTTACCTTGGACAAAGAGAAACTTACCATCTTTGTGCCCTGATCTTTAAGCAGTCTGTAGGCTCCTTAGCTGGAGACTTGTGGAGTTGGCTGAGGGGTCACTGAAAACCCATGTTTGTATACACCCAAATAGGAAACGTTGGTGAAGGAAATTCAATTCTTTTTCAGCTTGTCCAAGAGTTCAACACGCAAGTGGCCCTGTACCGAGAGTTGGTCATTTCTATCGGGGACGTCTCCGTCAGCTGCCCCTCACTCCGGGCGGAAATGCACAAGACAAGAACCAAAGGCTGTGAAATGGCTCGTCAGGCACACCAAAAACTTGCTGCCATCTCGGGGTAGGAGATTCTTGGCATTATTTGGTCATTCATATACATGATGCATGGATGCTGACAGTTATTTATGGTGTTCAAGACCTCAGAAGCGATCTCTGCAAATCTGGGATTTTAACCAATCACCCTGAGATCAGGATTCTTTTGAGAGCTATAGACAAACTAGGTGCTAAATTACAATCTGAAGGTTGTGAGATTCTTGAATATACATATATTCAAGACTTGGGTCATTAAGTGATTTAAAAAAAAAATTAACTTGCACTATGCTGTCCACATATCCGGACTCGGGGCTTCAGAATTTTTTTGCAGAATGTTAGGCTGTCAAAATGAAGTTAAGTCATCACACCTCGAGATTATTTGTCATCTGCTGCTAAACAGCTACTGCACGAAAGTCCAGTTCAGTAGAGAGAAAAATCTTTGCTAAATCCTAGATTTACTAAACTATTTATACCATGAGATAAATTCCTGTGATACCATTTAAAATAAAATCCCTAAAATAAAGTCTTGGATATAAATTACTCTCCTCAGTGTAGTGTATGAAAGGAAAGTTTTAACAGAAGAAAATTTTGGTGAAGACTGTGGAAATTCACAAATCCATCTAAATCTAGGCTGTTCATGTGCCCCTCCCCATTATTTTTATTTCCTTTTATCACCCTTATGGATTATCAGTCCTACTTTAGGTGCTAATACAGTGAGCGAAAACTTCACTTTTGAGACCTCATCTACTTCCTGATCTCTCCATATCAGGAAAGAAGTTAGTCATGGATTTTGTCAAGTTACTATACTCAAATAAGAACATAGAGCAAGGAAACACAGGAATCCTTATAGAAATACATTAAGTGTTTGATTCCGTCTGGATAAAGCCTTTATCTGTTTATCTGTGTATGTCTGTATCATAATCGAAGTTCAAGTCTATTAGACTAACCTGATAATATTGCAGATTGATCATGTGTAGGAATTATATCTAATTTATTACTTGAAAGAATCACTCTTTGCCATCTTTAAGGCCAATAATATGTATAATGCCGGTAATACGTACAGTGACTATTGGTATACATAGATTAGAAAGCTCTATGTTGCCTTTCTCAGTAACTGCATTTAACAAGTGGCATTTTATATCATGAGAAAAGATGCACTATCTAATGTCCTTGAAATGAGACATAAAGTATATTACAAACCCATTTGGTAGAAATATTTAGAAACCTCATCCTTTTCTGTTTTAACTGTTACACTGTGCCTAACAGGATGTGAATCTGGAATTTCATCCAGAAGGTGGAAAGGGATTCAGTGTTTAAGGACTTTGGGGAAGAAATGCAGCTGTGATAAACCCCAGACAAGAAGGGAGGTAAAACAACTGGAAACACAAAGGAGAATAGTGGTGGAATAAAAACTGGAGAGAAACAATGATTCAGAAGGGGAAACAGATTTACAACAGGAAATGTTATGCCCAGAGCAAAAGAGTAGCATCTTTGTCAACTTTGTGTCCAAGACTGTACGATGGGGTTATATTCAGGACTCCTCAAAGGTGAAACTCAAATTGATGACATGTTCTAATCACAGAAGATAGACTGGAGAAAGAAACAAGGAGTTCAATTTAGTCTGTGCTGCTACACACATGAAATTCAAGTCCTTCCAAAGTTTCAGGAAAGAAGGAGTCTGAAACTACTGGCTCAAAGTTGAGTTTTGAGGATCTGAGATGGATTTTATATACTCGGGGGTTGGTAAGCCCCTTGCTACTTACTTTTATATTACCTGAGAGTTGATTTTATTGGGAGCAATTTTGTAAGACTTAGTGGGAAAATATGTTGTTCTTAGAGCCTTGCAAAGGTAAGGCCAACTCTATACAATGTTCTAGGATAGGACCTGAAACATTTCCTCCTTAAAATAATGAATACAATTTAACCTTCTTTCTAAAGAAATGACAGCATTATAACTGAAGGAAATCCCTTTAGCTTCTTACCATCCAGGTTTCATTAATGAAGGATGTGATGATTTTCCTTGGTGGAATTCTGTTCCTGACATTGCTAGTTATGTTGGCTCTCATGTCAAGTTTGATGTGAAAGCTGGTAGGGAGACTGTAGCATTCGCCTTAAAATCTGAAGCAGGGTTAAGAAAAGCAAAGCCTCCTAGGAAATGTAGAGACAAAGACTGGATTTCTTGAGCACCCATCACTTGCCAGCACAATCCAGTTAATTCATAGAATAGTCCTCTGAGGGAAAGATGATTATTATCCTTATTTTTACAAATGAGTCTCAAAAAGGTTAAGGAACTTGCCCAAAGTTACACAACTAAGAAGTGGCATGACTGTGATTTGGCCCCATGTTGCATACTTCTGAAATCCATGATCTTTTCCCTACACAATTCTGCCATTTAAAGAAGTATTATGTAAAAAGGAATGAAATACGAAAACATGCTAACATATGGATGAATCACAAGAAGAGTAAGCTAAATCAAAGACACCAGTCACCAAATGCCACATATTGTACGATTCCTTTTACATGAAACGCTCAGAAAAAGCACATCTATTTACATCAGAAAGTAGATTAGTGGTTGCCTAGATCTGGGAGTGGGAACAGGGAGTCCCTGCAAATGAGCTTGAGGTAACTTTTTGGGGTGATGGAAGTGTTCCAAAATTGAACTGTGGTGATGATTGTACAACTCTATAGCTACTAAAAATCACTGAATTGCACATTCAAAATGAGTGAAGTTTATGATGTGTGGAATATAACTCAATAAGTGTCTTGTAAAAAGGTATGATCACTATCACCATGAATAATAATACCTGGCCTTATTCTTTCCTACATACACAGCTTTTAGTGAAAGGGGTAGGAACTATAGGGATGGGGAAACAGAAAACTTGGCTCTCCATGCATTCATCAAGATGCCGGCCCAACAGCTATCACCTAAACTCCAAAGCTTTGCTCTGAGTAGAAACATAGGTGAGGCAAAAACAAGACTTGAAGGAGTAAATGAAATGACTTATTTCTTAACCAGCACAGAGCACTCCTTTCCTGTTTATCACCTGGCTTTGGGGCCAGAGGAGGGAGACTGGGTTGAAGGTAGACACGGTAAAAAGAGGATGAAGCAAGATAAACAAAAAAGAGGAGAAAAGCCAATGAGCCGGGATTAAGCCACGGATGCTTAGACCCCCTTCATCCCCAAATGACTCCCTCAAGGAACGGTGACCATAGACCGTGGTTCTCACTAGCTGGCCCTGGGTAAGAAGGCCATCATCACAGACGTCATCATGACACCTTCTCAAACCGTGTCTAGACCAGCGAACGTTGCAGTACATCCTTTTCTTTCAAAGGCAACGGATGTCTTCTGGACAGAGCCAGCCAGGTGAATCCCCAGTCTCTTCTGCCTGGTTTGAGTGACCACAGTTGCTGTCCCTTTACAGTGCTGATCCTCGTTGGTATTAAAGCTAAGAGAGGCCTCAGGGATCACTTGCTAGAATGGTCCCCAACTTGTTTTAGCAGCAGAATCTTCCTTCCATCTTAATGTAGAAAGTCAGACTTAGAAGGCAGGTTGAAAGTGGCATTGCTGTGCCCTGCATGGTGTGTGTGTGTGTGTGTGTGTGTGTGTGTGTGTACACGCGCACATGCGCACGCACACACACACACACATCAGGGGCAGGTGGCTACCAGGGCCGGTGACTTTGGACTTCCTTCCCAAAATGACTTCTAAGACACCTTTGAAGAATCCCTAGGGCTTCAGGGCAGAGTATACTGATAATAGCACAATTTCCTTGTTTTGTATTTGAGGAGATTTAGAGGATTTCAAGCGACTTTAGAGGCAACTTGGGCAAGTATACGTGAAGACTTAGCATTTAGGCAGACGTGGGTGGAGAACCATCTTCTGTGACCTTGACAGAACTACTTCACTGTCTGAATCTCAATTCCCTCCTCTGTCAACTCATTGTCATGGTCCCCATTGGGTAGTTGAGAGGATCTGTGGGGCCAAGTGCATGACTCCCAGCCTCTAGAGGATACTCTGCCAGTCCAAGGCTGCTCTAAGACCAGAACCCATGCCGATCATTCAGTGGTCTGGCACCAGTTCCATCGAACACACCATGCCCTGAGAACCAAGAGAAAAGAGCACAGCGCACTGGCTAGGAACGACCCAGAGGAGACAGTACCCTCCAGCAGACACCGGAGATGATGCTGTGGCTGGTGGGCTGGGCGTTGGGATCCCTTTTCCTCCATGGCTGCTGGGGTGCTTGTGCTGCCCTACATCTCCTTCACACCTCTGCCTTCTGGCAGTGGCTGCTGACAAAGTGAACGTGAGGTTTAAGTATGAAAATGTGAGAGGCAGTATCGAGTGATGGGAAAGAGCTCTGACTCTAAATCAGATTAGACTGGGATAAAATCCTGGCTTTACCACTTGCTGGGAATCCATGTGTATTGAGATGCATACTGCTTCGCAGGGTGCTAAAGGTCAGACTTTGCCTGTGTTCAAATCTCAGCCCTGCCCTTTTTACAAATGGTGTAACCTTGGATGAAGGTAGATACTGTCCCTCCCTGCCGCAGTTTTCTCATCAGAAAGTGGGGTTAATAGCTAATGACACTGAACCACACGGCATTATAAGGACTAAGTGAACATATATCAAGCACGCAGAAGATGGACTAGCACACGGTTACACTATTACGAAATTCAGATTAGTATTCGTATAATTATTCATAAGACATGCAAAATTCAGGATATCATGATACACCTATATGAAAAATAAATTTATCCATCCAATATTTTTCAAATAAATACCTTGGCTGAAATAAATGTTTATCTTAGTTCCTTATATTATGTTTGGAAGAATTTTCTAGGTTGAGGCTTCCCAGATGGTTATCAAAGACTTTTTTTTTTTTTTTTTTTGAGAGAGAGAGAGCCTGAGTAGGGGGAAGGGGCAGATGGAAAGAGAATCTCAAGCAGGCTTCATGCCCAGTGCAGAGTCCAACATGGGGCTCGATCTCACAACCCTGAGATCATGACCTGAGCCAAAACCAAGAGTA